GAGAAATCAAGGAAATGGCGAGGGACTTCAAGGGGTCTACACCAGGAAATCTAAGGGCAGAGAGGCATGGTTTGCTCCACTTTACGTACTGGGAGATGCCTTGAGTGGAGCAAGAAGCCACCTGTTCAGGAGCCCACAAAGACCCTGGTCTTTTGGTTCAGAAAGTTCTGGGTTATTGCACCTGCTCTTCAGCCATCTCAATGTGGCAATGCCCGTGAGTTGGAAACAAGGTGATGGGGTCACTTCTGACATCCTGGAGGGAGGACAAACAGTCCCTCTGGTAGCAGGGGGCATTTCCAGATAGCTGTGCTCATGGGCCACCAGCTACCCCATTTTAGAGTCTGGTTCTCTTGGAATAGCCACAGCCCTCTGTTGCCCACTACTGAATTCAGTTTGCAACTGTTCACTCTGGCTCTATATGAAGGCAGGAAGGTCACCCCAGTCTACAAAGGCACTCTCCAAACCCGGTGTGCACAGAGAATGCCTGAGTATGCTGCTCAGGCACAGACTGAGTTAGTCAGCCCCCTCATCCCTGGATAATAGCCTAGCTGCTGATCCATGGATAGCCATGCATGGATAGCCATGGATAGGTCCTCTGGATCGCTAAGGGCTGGAGAAGTTGAAATCATGCTCATTATTCTTCATCTAAAGTATCAGAGCTGACACTGTGGCACAACAGGATGAGCCACCTTCCACAGAACTGTCATCCCTTATGGGCACCAGCTCAAGTTCCAGCAGTTTCGTTTCTGATCCTGATCCCTGCTAATGTACCTGAGAAGGCAGCAGAGAATGACCCAAATGTTTTAGGCTTTGCCACCCTGGTAGGAGACCCGAGTAAGCTCCTAGCTCCTGGCTCCTGACTCCTGGCTCTTGGCTTCCACTTGCTCTAGCTCTGGGCCATCTGGGAAGCAAACTGGCAGATGGAAATTTCTCTCTCTCTCTCTCTCTCTCTCTCTCTCTCTCTCTCTCTCTCTCTCTGTATAACTCTAACTTTCAAATAAATAAATTCAAAAGGCATGCTATAGACTACAGCCGTAACCATTGACAAATCTTTGCTGTTTGCTTTTTAAGCAAGCCACATCAGAACCAGCTTGTGAACCTTGGCTATGGGGCAAGAGTAACAAGGATGACTCTGGAACTCTACATCTGGTCCCAGCACTACCTTCAAGGACTTTCTACCCATCTCCTTTTCAGCACAGCCTGTATAAGTGTTTAAAAAGAGAGAGAGATACCATGTTGATTTCAGTGTGTCAGTTTTGTAGTATAGACCAGGAATTGGCAAGTTTGCTCTGTTTTGCCTTCTGTAAAAGACCGTATCATTATTTGAGCCTTTGAGACAGTACAGTTTGTGCCCCTATTACTTGGTCCTGCTGTTGCAGTTCAAAAGCAGGCGAAGAAGTCTAGTGAACAGGAGTGCCTGGGCCACTAAATATTTACTGACAGAACCAGACAGTGAGCCAAGCTTGACTTGTAGCCTGCTGCCCTCTGGTTTCAGGCTTGTTGTAATCTCCTACACACCCTACCTGACACCATGTTGAGTGTGGTTGGGGTGGACTCCAAGAAATTGCTGCTGTCAGCCATTACACAGGCCTCGTGTGCTAGGGGTGTCGCAGGGCCACAGCCACTGAGGGATGCAGGTTGCACCCATGCACAGCAGCCTCCTGTGATGAGCTTTTGAAATGCTTCCCCCTCTCTGTGTTAATAACTTGCAGCAAGCTCCTGCATTCAGAAACTACCAGCCTCATTTCTTATCTTTCCATTGGCCCCAGTCTCTACAAGAAGAATGCATGGGGCCAGGAGGGTGATGCTGGTGTGTGTCCTCCACAGCAATGCCAGCAGAAAACCTCCTCCTGCCACACATCATAAAAGAAGTGTTTTGGGCTGCCTATGTGCTTCCAAAAATTATCTCACCACAGGCACAGGTGAATCAGCAGGTAAATCAGTGTTCTCCCACACCGCTATGACATTGTGGGGACCTCTGTGGACCTCCAGGAGCCACCTGGCCAGCCACAGGCCTACAGAGCGCTCACAGGGACATCTGCTTCCTATCAAGGAATCTGATCACCCAGTAATGCCCACCACACATGGTGGGCAGAGGCCTCCTCCCTGTGACACCGTTCATCCAGATTGCTCACTTCCTGCTGGAAGCCTCTTTTAGGTTCATTCTGGCACACAGCTAGTCAGGGGTGGAGTGGGGAGCAGTAATTCTGGAGTGGTTTCTCTGGCGATGGCTTGCCATGGGTCAGGTTTTCCTACAGCACATTCCAAAGCCTACTGGAGAACACATTGCAAAACCTGCTGGAGAAACACTCAGGAAATGTGGTGTTCCTTCAGCCTTGTCTAAACTTAGCCCTATGGAAAAGAAGGGAACATTTACCACTAAGAGTGGAAACAGGAAAGGATCTGGGCAGTTGCATGATGAGGGTGAGGATGATGATGATGATGGAATTTACTTGGATGGGGTGGGTGTAGCACCCCATATCGAAGTGCTACTTTGAGTCCCAGCTACTGCACTTCCAACTCAGCTTCCTTCCAATGGATCTGGGAAGCAGCAGGCAATGTCTACAGTGATTGGACAGAGCAGACTCATAGATGGAGTCATAGGCTCCTAGCTTCAGCTTGGCCCAACCCTAGCTGACTCACGTGTCTGGGAGATGGATGATCTCTCTTCCCTTTTATATCTGGCACTACAGCTTTCAAGAAGATGCAAATAGATACATGAACATTTTTACAAATTGGAGGTATTCTGGAGAAAATCAAATATAAGAAGATAGTGATAGCAAAACCAACATCTTAGACTTGAGTTCGCAGCCCCATCTCGCCATCATACCAGGGGTGTAGCCTTAGACAGGGCACATAATCTCTGTTTAATCTTGGTTTCCTGCACAAGTGTTCAACAATTTCACAGGCTGCCTTTGAGATTTAAAAATACATGTTCCAAGGCCTAGAGTTCGGTAAGAATGCTGAAGGATATAGGTACTTAAACAAGTTTGTGGAAAACAGAACTTATAAAAAGGGGAGGAATGTTGCAGGTGCAGCTCCCCACTGCCCTCATACCCCACTTCCAACTCCTCATCCCTGCTGCCTCCTCCCTGGGCAGGAGGAGGTGCAGAGGTCATCACATTGTTCCTGCCCAAAGCTCTAAATGGTTGTTACTCACCTGTTCTGTCTCTGGGGGTCATCCCTCCTGTTATACAAAGTGGGTGTGAAGTAGCCACGGCCACTCAGAGGCCCCAGAAGTTGCCAGAACACCAGCATGTGCCCCCAGTTTCTTTCTAGGCTTTAGGAAGATCTACCTCTCCTGATTCTGCCCCTCAGAGCCCAGGATGGATTCAAAGGAATAAGAGGTCCCCTCTCCTGATGCCATCTATCTCCCTCCTGAAGACAAGTATAGCCCCACTTGTCATTGAAGCTGCTCAGGCAGGCAAAGCCACTGCAAGCGTTCACTCTGTCCCAGGCTCCTACAGCGTAATGGGACCCACCTTGAGTGTATGGGAGAAGGCTGGGGGACAGAGTCCCACATGCAACTCTTACCCACAGGGTCCTGCACCCACCTGCACCTGGAGTCATCTAAAAAGGCCCTGTCTAGTGACCCCATTCATACTGAGCAGGGTCAGAGGATAGGCATGCCACCTGTCCAGACTTTCTTTATTCTCAAGAAAACCTTTGTGTGCTGTTTACAAGAAGGACTCGCTGGTCTTCCTGTTCTCCCCCAAAAAAACAGAACCTGCTGCCCGCAGAGAGCCGCCCATGCTCAGCACTGCTCGGATGATGTCTGGTGCCAGGGACAAACCCAAACTCTGCTGCCTGTTGCAGCCTCTTCCTAAATAGGCCTCTGGGAGAACGAGTGCTGGGTCTCATATGGCTGTGGAACAAGGTAGTGGTGGGTGTTTATGGGACAAAAAGCTTCTGAGGAAGGAGAAAGATAGAGCAAATGTGCCATGTGAAAGGCCCGTAGGATGTAGAAGCATGCTCTCAGATGAGGCTCTGTTGGCATTAACAATAATCACTCATGGAGAAGCCGTGTGTGTGTAGAGGAATCAGTTAGAGGTGCTCTGGAGAGTGGGCATACAACAGTGGAACGGGGTGCTGCCTGCAGGCAATGAATCAGACACAGAGCCAGTGAGTGCCTTTGGACTTGACTCTGCCTGTGGGGTTTGACCTGTGGGACCGTTCTGGGCAGATGTCCCAGGTTATTCAATCAAACCAAAAGTGTACTTGGAATCGTTTGCCAATGACTGTGCCCCTAGCATGGATAATTGCTCAAAGCCAGCTTGGGACTCAAGATGTGAGTTCTAGATATAGCTCTGTTATCAAACGTCTTTCTGTAGCCTTGCAGTCCAAACCAGGGGAGCCACTCTGTCATCTTGATAGTTCATTGTCCCAATGGCACCCTTGCAAACCCACGTACCTTTTGACATGTGGAGACCAGTGGAGCACATGGGAGGCAGTGCATGCCTCAACAGTTCTCAGCTGGCCTTTGGAGTTCCTGGCTCTGTCCCTGTCCTCACCCTCTGTCCCCTGGGGAAGGGCTGAGGGGTCCCTGAGCCCAAGTCCTCCTGCCCTCCATCTTCCAGAACCATCCATGGAGACTCAGAACCCAAACGGCATATATAACTTGCTAAGAAACTGAGCTGAAGAGCATGATTTGGTGGGGCTCAGCAAAGGGTAGGGGGTGCAGACTGTGAGTCCACTGGGAACCTCTATATAAAAATCCCGCAAAGATTGGCAGAACAGCAAAGGTCATCTTGATCAGTGTTTGCAGCTCCCACATCCACCCCCTGGCACACACAGTTTGTGAACAGCTAGGAAAGGAAGTCCTCCCAGCAAAGATGCTGGTGGAGAGATGAGGGGCAGGGGCAGGGCCTGGCGGTGGAGTCGACTGAAACCCCGCCTACCAGCCGCAGGTTTCCCAGCTGAACCTCCTTCTCACCTTCTTCCTCCCCCAACCCCAAGCACCCCTGATTTCCACTCTTAGAGTCTCTTCTGGCTCTTTGCAGAGCATCGGATGCGATGACTTCCTGGGATCAGACAAAGTGGTGGACAAATGTGGAGTGTGCGGTGGAGACAACTCGGGCTGCCAGGTGGTGTCGGGTGTGTTCAAGCGCGCACTGTCCAGCCTGGGCTACCACCGCGTCCTGGAGATTCCCCAAGGAGCCACAAAAATCAACATCACCGAGATGCACAAGAGCAACAACTATCTAGGTAAGGGGCTCCTCCAGCCCCCCGACCTGCCCTTTGAAATGACAGCTGGGATGGGGACAGTTCCAAAAAAGAAATGTCTGTCTTGCAGCTTGGTGCTTGGCACCCGCACACCTAAACCAGCTTTTGCTTATCCTGGGAGAGGAGGGCTGTGTCGTGACTGGCAACTGTATGGCTACTCGCAAAGGGCAGCACCCCTCTCTGTCTTGTAGGATTGGCATGGGCAGATGGCCAGTGACCAGTCTCTGGTGCTCCAACCAGCAGCCACTCCTGTCTTCTTGCTGCTCCGTTGTCTCTGGCTCTGCTCACGTAGCATATATGCTTCCTGGACAGCCACACCCCGCTTAGCAATCCTTTGGAGCAAATGGTCATAGTGAGAGGCTGCTTCACCCCATGTTCCAGCAAAAGGAAATCTCCATCAACACTTGTGTTCGGTTTCTGGGTATTTTGTGTTCCGTCCGAGAAGAGCGGATTCTGTATGAGTGAGTTTTAATTTGTCAGTCTCTGACTTGTATTACATCTCTGTGAGCCAAGTAGCAAAGTAAGGCAAGGGAACTGTTGCCTGGTCATTTAATACACAGCAAAATCCATTTTTCTTGTCTCAGACCCATGATGTCCCTTGCTTTCATCTTAATGCTGCACCTGTTACCCTTCAACCCTCACAACAGCTCTCCCATCCCCATGCTGCTGGTGACTAACCAAGCCCTCGCTTACCAGGGTCACCACTTAGAGCAAGAGCTGTGGCAGGACCTCAAAGCCAGGTGGCCCTGTCCCAGCCAGAGCAGACACCACAGGCTTCTCAGAACCTGGTTTCCTGGGTCACCATTGACCACACTGCTGTCAAGGGCTTCAGCAGACGAAAGACTTGTACAGCTTTCAAAAATCAGGAGTGCCCCGGGAGATACACCTGACACCCCAGGGATCCTGGTTCTCTGCCTCTGCCTTCCCCACTCCACCAAATGCAGCCTCAGTCCCGTTCCTGTTGGCTTTGTTGGCTGGAAGAGGATTGGGTGGCAAATATAATTAAAGACACGAGCCCGCTTGCAGCAGAAAACTCTTCCTTCAGTTGCAGCAGAACCAGGAGCCACTACAGAAGCAGAGAACCAAGTTTCCCAGCAAGTTATGGTTTGGATGTTACACCAAAAAAAAAAAGCCTTTATTCTTTGTCCTTTCTTTTGTTCTATTGTGCATTCTCTTCTCCATAAACATCCTGTCTCCAAGAATGGAAACTGTTCATCGGTCCATGTCTGAAGTGTGCTTGCTCACAGATGCCCCAGCAAGCAATGCCAGTCTTCCATCAGTTCTTCATTGTTTAGAGTCATTTTTGTCCTGGCTTCACTTAGTCCTGTTGCAAAAGCAGCTTCCACACTGTGCATCCTGTTGGATGTGGTGCTAGACAGCCGCTCTGTGTCTGCAAGGAGAGGGCTTCGCCTGTATATGGGATGGGAGTCGGAGGCTGTGAGAAGCCACAGCTGTGCGGCACAAAGGAAATTTTCCTGTCCTCTTACGATGAAGTGGAGGCAGAGGCAGGGCAGAAGCGGAGGGACTCACAAAGTCAAATGCATATGAAGCCTCCCCAAGGCCATGGAGATGCCCCATGGTGCTCTGCAGGTACAGAAAAGGAAGGCTGGGGAAAGCAGTCAGGGGAGACAAGGAGACTAATTCCAGAAATGGCAACCAGGGCTTTGTCTTCTGCCTTTAGGTCACCAGCAGCCCATTTATGCAACCCAAGACACAATTCACAGACTGTGAAATTCACCCTTTGACAGGTGCCGTAGTCACCATGACCTTTTTCTAGTAATAGATGTTCTCTCTCCCTGGCCCACCTTTCCTGCTGAACGCCCTGCTCCGTGAGGCCTGTGTATTTTGAAAATTAATTTGCATGCAGTTGCTTGGGGTTACTGTAAACTGTGAGAGCAAAAGTATGCGTGGCTGCTTTTGAACGTTTTAAAAGAAGATCGTGGGGCCCATAGTCTTGGGGCATGATAGCCTAGTGGCTAAAGTCCTTGCCTTGCACGCACCAGGATCCTATATAGGCACCGGTTCATATACCAGTTGCTCCACTTCCCATCCAGCTTCCCTACCTGTGGCCTGGAAAGGCAGTCGAATGTAGCCCAAAGCTGCCCCTGCGTGGGAGACCTAGAGGAGGCTCCCGGCTTCAGATCAGCTCGGCACCATCCATTGCAGGCACTTGCGGAATGAATCAGTGTGTTTCCCTGGCCCCTGCTCAAAACTTTCTGACACCAGCTTCTTCCAACACATATTGTCAACCAGTATAGCCTTTTCCAGTCAAATGGAGGTGGGTTTCTGCACAATTTTCCAGGTAATGATGAGGAATATTTTTTCCCTTTGTGATTGCTGACTATACAAACTGCCTTTTTACAAATATTTGACTTGACACACAAAATTAAGTCAGCACTCGTAGAATTTTCCTTTGCACAGTAGCTAAATGAAGGAAGCAAATAGTTTGCTTTTTATCATTACTTCTAGATATTGCACAGCTTTTGCAAGGTTTTCAGTTGCCTGTTGCTTTCCTTCAGTTATTTTTCATACAAATCAATCTTCTTTTCCAAAATACTTGCTAGTTTTTAACCACTGACTCCCCTCATGAGATAGCAACACAAAATAGATTGAGGGGCTAGTGCCTGGACATAGCAGGAGCCTGTTGTGGGCATTCTCTGGGGAGAATTTTCTAAGTGGCTTTCATTTTTCATGATCACTTTTTTAAAATGTCGTCATTTTGGTGCCAGGAGCTTCATCCAAGTCATCATGTAGGCAGGGGAGCCAAGGACTTGAGCCATCTTCTGTTCTGGTGCTTTTCCTGGACACTTTGGCAGGGAGCTGGGTCAGAAATGGAGTACATAGGACTTGAAATGGGACACCCATGTGGGTACTTGGCAGGTTGTGTCTTAACCCCCTACACCACAGTGCTGGCTCCTTACTCCGTAAGCAGCAGTGACCCACCCCATGCAAATTTATCTCCTACTTCAGTCTCCGGAGCATTTCACATGTCTATTGCTTTTTTTTTTTTTTTTAGCTACCAGCAGTATTTATTTTGCCTGCCTTTGAACAGCATTTGCAGTTACTTTAAAAATTCAACTAGGGTTAGGATATAAAAATTGCTATTCGAAATTGCCAGTTAAAAATTGAAAGCTAGGGGCAAAGTAAATTAAGTAAATTAAGCCTGTGCTTATGGGTGCTGGTTGGTGTCCTGATGCTCCACTTCTGATCCAGCTCTTTGCTAATTAATGGACTGGGAAAGCAGCACAGGATAGCTCAAGTTCTTGAGCCCCTGCAACCATCTGGGAGACCTGGAGGAGGATCCAGACACCTGGCTTTGGATCACTGCGGCCATTTGGGACCGAACCAGGAAATCCCCACCACCCCACCCTGTCCTGACACTGTTACCCTGCCCTTCAAATAAAAACATTAAAAATAAGTACATCTTTAGAAGTCAAAACTAGCAGGAAGAAGGAGGCACATATGCCAGAAACCTTGGCCACTGATGGCAGTGAGAGTACATTGAACTGAGCTCTGGGTCTATGGCCAACTGAGGTCAGGACCCAGCTTGGTGGACTCAGGCTTGAGGTCTCTGCCCTGCGTCCACTCTCCTGAGGAAGCTGGGAGAAGGTCAGAGGGTCCCTGTATTAGGATGCTTTCCTCCTTCTCTGGGCAGAACTGCAGAGACCGTGACCTTGAACAGGGCACATATTTCAACTGATTGCATTGAAGATTGTGTAGGATATTGATTCATCTTGATTTAGATTGGAAACTGCAGGTTTCTGTTTGTTTCATTGTGTTCACATCTGTAGATTATTGAGTGTGTTCTAGATCCCTAGGTGTTTTTCTTTAGCAGCAAACACTATAGAAATCCTGTGATCCTTTGGTTAGGCTATGAATTCTCCTTTTGTGTATGAATTATTCTGATCCTGGGCTATCTGCTGGGGCAGCTGTGGAGTTCTAATTTTATTAAAAGGATTGGCATTTCATATGCTTTGCTTTTTCCCTGATGGCAAGATGTTGTGCAATTGTTTTGAGTGGAAATATCAAAATCTGGCCCTCGCTCAGGCAGTTTGGTTTACTAATGTTGTTGTGCAGTTGTTAAGAAATCAGACATGAAAGCATACCAAGCAAAAGGCAATCGGAGGGGACGTGTGCTACCTGCCAACATGTTGCATTATCACGGGGGTTTAGACTTGAAAGGTCTGTAAGGCTTCAGAAGTAAACTGGCAGTACATTTTCCAACAAGCATGTTTCCATAAAAGTTTTCAACAATAATAAAGATCAGCCTTTAACAAGTCAAGAAGCATCATAGATCGTTTATGGATTGTAAACTCTATCACTTGGGCAGCAGTCCCTGAGGAAAAGACTGAGACGTTGAAATCATGTGGCACCTCCCATTTAGGTGACAATTCCAGAGAATTTTTCCATTCACATTGTAATTTTTTTTAAGATTGATTTATTTATTGGAAGGTCAGATATACAGAGAGGAGGAGAGACAGAGAGGAAGAGAGACAGAGAGGAAGATCTTCCGTCCGATGATTCACTCCCCAAGTGAGCACAACGGCCAATGGTATTCCGATCCGAAGCCAGGATCCAGGAACTTCTTCCAGGTATCTCACACAGGCACAGGGTCCCAAAGCTTTGGGCCATCCTCGACTGCTTTCCCAGGCCACAAGCAGGGAGCTGGATGGGAAGTGGAGCTGCCGGGATTAGAACGCACCAGCATCCATATGGGATCCCGGCGCATTCAAGGTGAGGACTTTAGCCGCTAGGCCACGCCGCCAGGCCCCACATTGTAATTTTTTAAAGATTTATTGATTTTTTTTGAGAGAGTTACACAAAGGGCTAGACAGAAAAAGGAAGAGAGAGAGAGAGAGATCTTCCAACTGTTGTTTCACTCCCCAAGATGACTATGATAGCCAGAGGTGGGCCAGGCAGAAACCTGGAGCCTGGAACCAGGAACTACATCTGGGTCTCCCACAGAAGTGCATGGAGCCAAA